AAATACCCTGCGCGGCTACGCGCAGGGAAATGTCTGTGTGATCACCCCTAGGATCACTACATTATTAATACATTTCGTGTTTATTTACCATCATTTTATTACTGAAACATGTCAAGACTCAAGTGCCTGCGATTCTAGATGGATTGAATACGCATGTTAATTAATCGTTAGCTTTCGGCCTACATAATACGTTCTAATTAACTGTATCGATGTCAAACTTACCTTTTCATCAATAAACCTCAATTTGCCGCTCAAGTTTGGTGTATTTACGACCCAAAGATAAAAGGCAGTGTCTAAGCGGGCATATAATTACTAGACAATAATACACCACAGTGTAACTCTCTTGTCCATTGTTTCAGATTGAGTCCCATCATTTGTAATCTGTATCAAGTACCATCATTGAATAAAGACTGATTCACAAAATGGATGCGTTCCTATCTAATTACCTTGGGGAAGGAAAGCAATTGGTCGTGTACTTCACTTGTAATCCGCGCCATATATGGTTCATTTCTAACCAGTGACGCTATGCAAGTATAATATGGCGCAAAATCAAGGCACGCGCTTGGATATATTACTGAGAATACTATCCGTAAATACGATTATCCGCTCATATATTACGAACAATATAATAACCAATAAAATATGCAACTACATATATATATATAACTATCAAAATTCAAATTCAAATGAATTTTATTGATCAGATGTCATACAGATACATTGGCAAAAGAAAAAAAACATACAAATACTGCACTAGTGCAGGAAAACCTAGAAATATCAAATGGGAGAACCAATAGGCCTACTAGTGATACGTACATTATCGCAAAAATACAGTACGAAAAGTGTTCATAATATACATTCTTCTCCTATCACCCCTAGCTATCTTCCCTGCCGTCTGTCATATCAGTCTCGATCCCCCTCTCGCTCCCAGCAAGATATAATTATGCAGTTTTCTTCAGTCCGTACTGCACGCCTGAAACGGTGCTCTTGCACGCGCATGCACAATATCTCCCGAAACGAATAAGATTTTACAAACATTGTGCATTTAAAATGAAGAGGGGTTATTCTAGCAAAGATTTATTGCATCAAATTCCATCAGTATACCTCACATCCTTCCGACAGTATACCTCACAAATACAAAGAATTAAGACCTTTAATTGAGACATTTATTACTATGAGGAAACACTGGTAGCTAACGATACAAAGAGAGTATACATTGGGACCATGCCCTCGTGAAGCAGGAGGATAAATGAATAACAACAACAACAACTTTAATGTAAGGTCCCCGCCGCATAGACCAGTCAGTACACAATCTGGCTACGTTAGTGTGTTAGCGCATGTGCGATATCTCACCAGAGGAGTTATATTTTGTAACGAATATGCATTTAATATATGGTTAGGGGGTATCTACGCATAGAGTTATGTAGTTAATTCTTAGCAGTACGCCTGTGTTTATAATTAGTAGAGCGCCCTAGCTTGTAGCGTGCAAAACTCTAACTTCAAGATTGCCTACTCTAGTACTCTTGTATTTAGCGTCAACATGACAACTGGCCATCCATTTCATGTATTTAGCAAATTTTATTCTGTTGGATGTATGTGAATAAACATGCATCCTACCATTCATGCACAGGTTGACACCTAGCAAAATATATGACTTAGATGTGACTTGAAAAATTACGACCTCATTCTCTAGTTAAAAAGTTATATCGAAATTTATTACTTACTCTGTGAATTAGTTTTTATAAACTCTAATCAGCTTAGTAGTAGGACAAATGTTGGCAATTACATACTGTGCAAATGTCAAGCAGAAGTAGTGGACGACCAACCACGTAATTCATACTTCTATTAGGCCTAAAAAAAGACGTTTGTTTCCGCTAACCCGACCGAGTCCATTTTAACAGCCGTGTCGAAACATTTTATTGTGATCGGCAAAAAAATGATTAAAAAACAAAATTTAATATTTTAACTTTTTTTAAAAAACAAAATAATCCCAACGTGATATTGATCGGTGAATGCATTGATTTGACTTTGAAGTAATTATATGGGCTGTTATAAGTATGAAACAAGTACCGGTATTGTTATAATACAAAAAAAAAAGTGATAAAAAATGATTTTCCTGCCTAACGTGTCCACTTTTTTTCAGCTCGTTAGCCGAGACAAACATCTTTTTTTCTTAGGCCTTAGTGCTAATAGTTAACGCCATGTCCTAGTGAGAAAAACATATTACCTCTGATGGTTTTGTAGATTTTGGGGTATGCTCTTCGGGAACATCAGATGGTGGAGAATGGAACCTCACAAATGATAGGCCATACTGTACATGCTGTAACAGAAACGACCATTAATTAAGCATGTATTTCAAACATAATTTCCAACCAGTCTTGCGTTTTCCCCAGTTTCACGACACTTACCGTTATTGCTTGAGTAACAGCTGTCAACTGTCTAGAGTAACGACATAATGTCTTAGAACCTTCGTACTTAGCTATATTCTCCAAAACATGCACAATTTGCTGTGAAGTGAGACTATATTTCACTACATTTTTTCAGATTGCACGTTTTTGAGCAATGATTTCGAAATAAATCCTTTTGGACTCATGATGAATTTTTACAATTGTTTTGTTTTTTAAATAATACCAGATTGCTTCAATTCACATAAACCATACCTTGTTAAATGGTTGTGTGCATATAATCTTTGCCCTGTCCCACTTTTGGTTTGAAACCGATTTGCAGAGATCAGAAGGTCCAAATATTCGTACTCTGTTCATCTTAATGCCATTACGACTTTCCACAGGGCTCATTAAAGAAGATGCCACCAAGATAACCTGGAACCAAAAAACAATTGTTGATTTCAAAAGTATTAAAAAACCTACAGATGGAAAATATCAAATAATACTGGATAAAAACTCTTTATAAAACTGTTATGAAGCCATTTGAATATTACACAAAAGTTATATTTTCTGATATCTTCAAACTTTTATTTCAAATAAAAACCAGATTTGGCTACAGGTGATTCTTGTTCACTTTTGATACTTTTACCTCTATATTGCTAATAAGCAATACTATAGGATAAGGTCGTTACATAACTGTTAAAACATCAATATATAACTGAGATATCGAAAGCAGAAACAATCTTTACGTACCTTATAATCATCTTCTGTATTACTGGAACATCCCACCAGCACCTCAACGAACGCCGAGCCTTCATTGCCAATGTCAATCGAATAGACTTTGCTTGACTTTTCAAACTATTAATGTACACGCATAATTTACACATGTTTAATATTTGACATAAGGCAAAATTAAAATACAATCAGACCTACAAAATGAAATAAATATTCATCAATCATCAATCCATTCATCCATCCTTCTATTTATTTAACTATCTACCTACCAACCTAACTACGTACCATCCAACCTAACCACCTGCCAACTTGCCCACCTGCCAGCCTTCTGGCTAGCTGTTTGTCTGCCTGCCTGCCTGTCTGATCCATCTATCTATTTATCCACCTTACCTACGTTACCAGCCACCCACCTAAATTACCATCCACCCACCCACATCCACCATCCATCCAGCCATCCAGCCATCAACCCATGCATGCATGCCTGCATCCATCCGTCCGTCCACCCATCCATCCATCAATCTATCTAGATATATGATCATATCATATGATCTCCATCAATCTTATTAAGTGGAATACCTGGAACACAGCAGCAATCTGTTTTTCTCCAGGGCCTGCACCCTTCCACTTTTTGTACGAGTCACCTTTTAGCAAGTTATCTGCACACTGATTCTAAAAATGAAATGCATTTTATTATTGAAAAATGGTGAAATTAGCGTAGACAAGAGGAAGATAAGTCACACACATTCGAGGGGGGGGGCTTGTGATATCGTTGGTAATATATAGATAGATAGCGTAATCATTGCTTTCGCCATGTGCCATCTTCTAAGGATCCAAGTTTAGTTTTTTTGTTTCCGTCGTTCCGTATTCTATTGGGATTCTCTCCCTTCGTTTTTAGTAAATTGAAAATTTGTGGCTTTTTCCACTGTGATCTGCAGTGTTGATCTGTCGATTTGAACAACTTAACCATCTCTCCATCTTCGTTATAGTCCCTGGACTTTTATTTTGAAACTATTATTTTTATTTTTTTTATTTTTTTATTTTTGAAGACTATTGTTTATGAGGTTAGGAGGTACTTGTCAGTATAATTTCTTATATACTTACTTTGTCTTGACTACTGCAGGTTATGACGTGCTGTAACTTAATCTGAGGCATGCTTCCTAGTGTTCGCTAAATGGTTTGAAGAAAAATGATATTCAGAATTGCGACTGGAGAACACACCTACAATATTGAGAAAAAACATCACCAGTTTTGTGGTAATCATTGTGTGTTGCAGATGATGCATGGTCTGAACTGCATTTACAGACCACTTACAAATAATAATAGGCAAAACAAGAACACGTGGAATTATTAGTCGATTGAGAATACATAATCATTTAGCTGTAGTACTACTACTACAGCAGGGTGCGAAATTAACGGGAGTCCGGAGTCAAATACTCCATGATTTACTGTCGGACTCCCTGATTTGACATATATATGCAGGAGTCCGCGTGAATCCCTGAAAATTCTGCTATACTATAACCAGTTCGTTCCAGAGCACAATCTCGGGGAATGTTTCAGTATTAAACTGCCCAAAGAAAATTTGGCAGACGTGCAACCTCATGAACCTTCAAAATAAGCACATGCGTTATTGTTAATATCTTTAGCTTTAAACTTCAGACTGCGGACTCCCTCATTTTGCTGCGGACTCTCTCTTTTTGAGGGCAGGGAGTCCGTTGGACTCCCTTGTTCACAAGTTAATTTCTACCCCTGCTACAGTGTAGGCTATAGTAACAGTAGGCCTACTATTGCCGTATTGGTATAAACATAGCCACAGGCACAATAGCCACAGGCACGTAGCACACATGCGACTAAACAGAGGAATTGCTCCGACCTGTGATTGGAGAATGAAAATAGACCCTGCCCACTCCCGCCGCACACGCTATTATGCTATGACCGGTAGGAACGTGTACTAACTATCATATGGCGCGAACGATTTGAGTTACATTTCTATAAATTCTAGCTATTATAGACACATATAAAATAATCATATAATATATCTGTTCCATTTGATAATATAATGAATCTATGTAACCATCTATCTAACCATGAATCTATATATCTGTCTTCTCCATGAATTTGGAGTCTGTTGAAGCACGATTAGTCTAATTAATTAGCAAATATGCACGCGCGGTATCGTTCATACACGCGCGGCTATGACCGGTGAAACGAAACGTCACAAATTCTATTTTCATCCTCCAATCACAGGTCGGAGCAATTCATCTGTTTAGACGCATGTACATAGCACAATGTGCCACAGGCAACATTGTCATTGTCACATTGAGACTGCATGGTGGCAGTGCCTGGGGATATGACATGATAATACTACATTACTCAATCATTACAAATACAACTAGACAGAGGGCACTCAAAGAGAGTGCATACCTCCGCAAGCGTGTAACATGTATATACATGT